ACATGGATGGCTTTCACGTTGAAACGCATCAGGCGCATTAGCAGACGTTGACAGCGCAAGGGTGTTTTGTCCAGATCATAAGTGTTAATCAGGGGAACCAGGGGCTTATGGTCCGTTTGCAGTGTAAACTCACCCAGGCCCAGTAGATAACAGGAAAGCCGCTCACATGCCCAAACCGCAGCCAGACATTCTTTCTCTATTTGAGAGTATTTCAATTCAGCACAGTATAAGGTTCTGGAGCAGAAAGCTATAGGAAGTGTCTTGTCGCCATGGATTTGCAACAGAGTGGCACCCAGTCCGAAACTGCTGGCATCCGCGGACACAATGGTAGGTTTTGTGACGTCATAGAAAGCTAATACTGGAGCAGAGGACAGCATTGCCTTTATTTTGCTAAAGGCCTGCTGCTGTTGCGTGTCCCACAGCCATGCAGAATCTTTCTTGAGCAGTTCGTTGAGTGGGTGCAACACCGTGGACAAGTCAGGTAGAAACTTTCCGAGGTAATTTACCATACCTAGCACTTGTCGGAGTTGGGTGATGTCTTTGGGGCATGGCAGGTCTGTAATCGCTTTGACTTTATCCGGATCGGGTTTCACGCCATCACTGCTAATGATGTGCCCAAAGAAACAGAGTTCTGTCTCACCGAAATGGCATTTGTCTTTATTGAGCTTCAGTCCTGACTCCAGGATTGTCTGCAAAACCGCCTCCAGATTCTTATCATGTGTCTCTTGATCTCTGCCATACACCAGCACATCGTCCATGACCACTACACAGCCCTCATGTCCCTCCAGCAGCTTGGTCATCTCCCTCTGAAAGATCTCAGGAGCTGATGTGATCCCAAAGGGAAGTCTCTGAAAACAAAATCTGCCTCTTGGAGTGATAAACGTCGTAAGCATTGAACTATTGCAGTCCAACGGGATTTGCCAGAATCCAGATGATGCGTCAAGCGTTGAGAACAATTTAGCCCCTGACAGCTTAACAGCAACGTCCTCCAGGGTAGGTAGCATGAATTTTTCTCTTTTCACTGCTTTGTTGAGGCGCTTTAAGTCTACACATATCCTGACTTTGCCATTTTTCTTGGCTACTGGGACCATTGGAGCGCACCAGTCAGTGGGCTGTGTAACTTCGTGTATTATCTGCATGGACTGCATTCGCTGTAGCTCCTCATCAACCTTCTGGATCAATGGAAAAGGCACCCTGCATGGTGTTGCTAAACTGTAGGGTTGTACATCTGACTTCAATTCAATTTTTATCGGCTTGCAGTTCAGACAGCCAATTTCCCCGAATACTTCTGCCCGAATGTGGTCTGCTCTGGCTGCCAGTCTCATAGCACAGGCCGCACTTCTGCTGAGAAGGTTATTTGAATAATGTCCATAGACTACATAAATCCAAAATTGGTGACGAGCTGCATTTCTTTCAGTCTCAGCAAAAAAAATTCCTATTGCTTTCACATTGCCACCGGGACTGTTAAGCTGTATTGCCGTTTTGTTCAACGGAGGGCGCTGTGGCAGACTTTGGTAAGTGTCATTGGACATAATCGTGATGTCAGCCCCCGTGTCGATTTTAAAGGTTACTGTTTTACCACACACAGGAATACTCACCAGCCAGTCAGACTCTGAATCACTTTTCTCAATACTGCCCAGAAAGTATGCTTCACAGTCATCATTATCGCTGTATCGCACTTGTACAGCTCTCACAGCCTTGCTTTGGCAGACCGCAGCAAAGTGCCCGAGTTTACTGCATTTACGGCATTGCTTATTATATGCGGGGCAGTCACGTGGCCCATGACATCTATTGCAACGTGAACACAGTTTATCTTCTGTTTGTTTATCCCCGTGCTGTCCCTTCTTGTTTATTCTCTTACCAGTATCGCGGTGTTTACCTCTATGCCGCTGCTGCAACGCTGCCACTTCAACGGACATCGCCACTGCCGAATTTTGCGTTTTTACGAGCTCTGCCTGTCGTGCCATCTGCACTGCTCTCTCAAGTGTCAAATCACTTTCCATCTGAAGTCTTTGTGACACACCACGGTCGGCTATTCCAATAACCAGTCTGTCGCGAATGTGTTTGTCTCTCTGTGTTCCAAATTCACAACGCTCCGCCAGCTCATACAGTCCTCTAACAAAAGCTTCGACTGATTCACCGGTCTTTTGCGACCGTTGGTGAAAGAATGCACGTTCATGTATTATATTTCTGCGTGGTATGAAGTGTTCATTAAACTTGTCCACTACCTGCTGATAATCGCTGGAATGGGCGGCCTCCGCGAACCGAAACGAGGCGAATATTGTCTCTGCCTCCATCCCCATAGCGTATAGCAGTGAGTTTACTTGAACGCCACCGTCCTCTTTATCCAACTTTGTAGCAATCCGAAATCGCGCGAAGCGTTGGATCCACAGAGGCCATGTAGAGGGCTGGCTAAAATCGAACGATTCTGGAGCTTGGAACAACGACATCCCTTTTAGTTTGGTTAGCGGGTACGACGAACTTCTGACACCATGTCACATATACGCTCACACCAGGTATATGTTCTATTATGATTTATTGAGAGCAACAGCTCACTCAACACCATGTGCAATTCTCGCAGTATTCATCTGACAACACCCTCACCACTTGCGTCGCACACATTACGTCATACACTCCCCAAAGCCTTATGGGTAATGTAGTATTAACATCCCAACACAATACCCACGTGACTAATTTTATTTACTGTTATTTACTAGGTTACCACCGCCATCCGCTCAAACTACTTGATGGAAACGCACCAAATTCGCATTTGTTTGTTTTTTGTTTTTTTGCAAACTTTGAAAAGATTCACTTCACGTTTGGATGGAAACCCAGCTTATACTGTATCGTGATTTGATTTAAATGTAGGATAGGCAATTTTTGGACAGACTAGCCATAGCGAGCTTTGAAAGCATCCCACCCTCCCTTCAGAGCGAACATGAATGCACACAGCAGGGAGCAAACAAAAGTGTCAGGAGAGACGGCATTAAACTACCTCATGTTCAAAGGACATAACATTTCAATAATAATGAACATAATGTAGCAAATTAGCTTAAAAGGAAAATATTATTAATAAATAATAACTTGGATCAGTTAATCGGATTAACTTGATGTAGTTAAACTAATATTACCATCAATTAGTCAGTTCGTCCAGCAAACTCTCACTATTGATTACTTTAATTCTAAGAAATGTTCATTTCTGGGTAAGGGAAATAACTTTCTTAATGTACAGTAGTCTACTACTCAAGAATCGTTTAAGTGACATTAATATGCAGAATCAGAATCAGGGAACTTTTTTTTATTAACTAAAAGTTAACTAAAGTTTTATTAACTTAATCACGAACACATAACTACAATCTAAACAAACACATACACACAAATCAATCACTCATGGGAAATGAAAAAAGTGAAAGTAAATGACCAGATCAGAAAAAAGGGGATGAAGCTATGAAAAGAGTCATTTAACCATCTGAAAAGAACCATCAGTTTCTTATGTCAAAGCATGTTCATTCACAGCAAGGTTTATCTATGAATTAATGTGGGGGAAAAGTCGGTCTTATGGACATTAGGTGTCTTGACATAAAGGAATGTAGTGAGAGTACCTCTCCTTGCATTCTTCTGGGGGAGGGGGTCATAAAACCATTTGCTGGTATGTTAGCCAGAGGTTTTTGGTGGTTTGTCACACACTTTTATACACAGTTTGCTTGTTGGTTGTGGAGTTTTAAGGATTATGTTAAATATAAGAGGTAACTGTGCGTGTCTGTTCGGTTCAGCCATTACAATGAACAACTTAAGAGCACTAACCGGTACCACCTGACTGCTTAAGATTGATTTTAGACGTTGCCGTGATTGCCATTGAAACTTATTGTCATTGAAATTCAAGTCATGAACCGCCCTGATCCGACACGGGTTTCCATCTCTTCCTAATTACAGTAGTTATGGCGTGAACGCAGCATAAGCTTGTTGTTTTGGTTCAGGAGGAACTTTAAAAGGTGGCTACTGTTTCGGTTGCGGTGCTCGGTGACTGACGTCTGTCTAAATCTGCATATCATGAAACGCGCTTATGATGTGTGTGATGCCTGCGTGAGCAAGGTGCGTGGAGGTATATCTGTAAATGCATACATTGACAGGCAGGTAGGACATCGTATTGTTGCATTTGGACCGAATGCAATGATTGGACTGACATTTCATGGTCCTACATCTTCCACAGATGATATAATGTATATATATATTAGGGCTGTCAAATGATTAATCACAATTAATCACATTTTTTTTACATAATATATGTGGGTGCACTGTGTATAATTATTTTGTATATATATAAATACACACACATGCATGTATATTTAAGAAAAAAAAATATTTATATATATAAAATATATACAGTATATACATGAAAATATTTCTTATTTATATATATAAAATAATTATACACAGTGCACCCACATATATTATGTAAAAAAAACTTTTATTTTGGATGTGATTAATCACGATTAATCATTTGACAGCCCTAATATATATATATATATATATATATATATATACACATATAAATACATTTAGAATGTATTCGATAACTTAATGATTGCTGTCAGGATGTGAAGAGACTTTCAACCAGCACAACAAAAAAATGTTTCTGGAACAAATCACCTACCCTGCCTTTAAGTGTACTGACCTGCTTTTTATTTATTCATCAAAAATGTGACAAATTCCGTGAAATTTCACATTATACAGTAAATTCTGTTTTTATGACTGGCGGAAGTCATAGGGCCCTACTTTACGTAGTTTGCTATAGCACTGAAACATCTTTTGTAACATCCCATTTAAATGATAATTTTATCTACACATCATCTGGGAGTGTAAACTGTGTCTGAATTCGTTTAGTTAATTTCAATTGTAGTGTTTTACAAAAGGTAAAATAGTGCTGCTTTGTGTGCTCCTGTACATAATTGTGGACTGCCTCAGGGTGATGTTCAAATGACTTTTTCTCTCCCTTCAAGGCCACTTCATGTTTATTTTCAAGAAGAGCAGCAGGTTTTCCCAGCAGGCTTTGCTGCGCAGTCCTACATTCCAGCAAGCAAGTTCAGATTGTGTCATGACCTTCTGGTAAGGGATGAAGAATTTGCCAAGTGACCTTACCTGTTTCTAAGCTTGGTGAAATATATGAATTATAAATGAATCAAAATAATATTCGAATTTTAAAATGTATGTTAATATTATGTATTATGTATGTAATAAAATGTATGTTTATTTATACATATAAAAAAAACGGAATCAAACAATATTCTTAACTGCTTTACAATATAATTTCTTACATCAAGTGTTCAGATATTAATAGTAATGTCCATTGTTTTGCTTATAGGCACTATAATTCTGGCCATTCTGTTGGTGCTGCTGAAATGCACCTGCTGATAGACGGCTTAGACAGCATCACTTTACTTTGGCAAACACTGTACAACCAAGGTAACCAGTGGCACCCTATAACTGTGCAGATTGGCAGGCAGACCAGGTCTTTCTACATTTCAGTTGCAAAACTGAGCCTGGGCGTGTATGAGGGAGTCTCTGCCCTAGATGATATTATGTTCCATAACTGCTCATTGCCCGAGGCTGTGGAGATGTGCCCTACTCCGTATCACCATCACTGCCTCCTGAGCAAAGCATGTGTGAGCTTTTCTCTGATCTGTGACCTGATCGATGACTGTGGAGATGGAACAGACGAGGAAAACTGCTGTCAGTATTGGTAGAGCTTTAAATGGTCAATGAAGCAGTTTATTGTTTGACGTTAGCTCTTTTTAGTCAATCGGTTTACAAAGATCTTTTTTTCTCCAATCAGCCCCGGAGCTAATGTGTGACTTTGAGGAAGGCCTGTGTAGCTGGACTCAGGAACCAGAAGAGGATATGTTTGATTGGGCCCGTATCCAAGGACCCACTCCTACTTTCAACACAGGCCCTTGGAAGGACCACACACATGCCAATGCCGATGGCCACTTCCTTTATATCGAATCTTCAGACCCACAGAAGTTCAAAGACACTGCTGTTCTTATCAGTCGGCCTTTTCTTCCAACTCCTCGCCGAGGTCCTGAACCCAAACCACCATGCATTTTCAGATTTCACTATCACATGTTTGGCCAAAATGTGTTCCGTTTGGCTGTGTACATGCGCACAAGTAACAGTGGTCGGGGAAACTTGTTGTGGGTTCGCTATGGTGACCAAGGCAACTTCTGGCACAGGATGATACTGACGATCTACAGTGCCCACCACTTTCAGGTGAGTTATTGATCAGAATTATGGGTATTGAAGAGGATGGGTCCTACAGGGGCAATGGTGTCCTTGTGTGCTGAATCCTTTGATTGACTGGCACATTATGAAATAAATGTTTTTCTCCAAAACACGTTGGCCACAATTATTGGCACCCCTAGAATTTTTTACGAGTAAAATACCATTAATGTTTACCTTTTTTAGCACATCAGGGTGACCAGAAACATGAAATTGTCCAGCCATGACTTCTTGTTTCCCAGGAGTATAAATATGAGGAAACACAAAGGCCAAATTCCCTTAATCATCCATCACAATGAGTAAACCCAAAGAATATAGTTCTGATGTGCATCAAAAGATTGTTGAGCATCACAAAATAGAAAGTGGCTGTAAGAAAATAGCTAATCCCCATTTTGACCATCAGGGCAATAATTAAGAAGTTCCAATCAACTATAACTGTACGTTCACACCGCCGCCGACTTGAGCTTCCAAAGCGGCCAGAAGTCATTCATTTTCAATGGAAGCTGGCTTTTCTCAGCTGCAAGGAGCTTCAAATCCATCGGCGTTGCGTTTTGAGCGTCAATCAGAAAGTTGAAAGAAGCTCAACTTTATGGTAATGAGCTGTGACGCGGTTCAGCGGCAAGCAGCGGCAAAACGCCAGCAACCAATCGGAATATAGACATCCTTCACGCTGGCTGATTCCGGAGAAACATACAATGTAAACTTTCGTTCCTACCAAAACATTAGTTCCGAGAAAATGGAAGAGAAGCTAATAATCGCTGTTGCTGGGTTTCCTACAGGTTTCCTATCATTTATGACATGACATTGTTTGCTTATAGGGACCGCATGAGCGCAACTTTTATTTGAAATATTTACGAACGCTCGTTTTAAAGCGGGAATGCAATTCATTTGCTCACGGTGACACCGATTTGACCGCAAATAATAATAATAATAGCTAACTATTCTTTTTTTCCCGACCAAATGTGACCAAAACGGTTATAAAAATGCTGTCATTATAAAAGGTTTCTTCAATGTATTGCTTGTTTTTTTTCTGTTTATTACATTTCATGTTGTGATACTTCTATTCTCCCTGCAACGTCAGAGCATTCAAAGCACCAACAAGCTTCCCCGTAGTTTTTGACAAGCGTCCTTGACAGGGCGGCCAGAGCTCCTTTGACGTTCAAGTCGGCGGCGGTGTGAACGTACAGTAAAGATGTTAGGAATCTGCCAGGAAGAGGACATGTGTCTATATTGCCTTAATGGACGGTGAGGAGGACACTTTGAGTGGCCAAAGACTCTTCGAGGATCACAGATGGAGAATTGCAGAGACTAGTTGAGTCTTGGGGTCAGAAAGCCTATTAAAAAAAATCAAACAACCCCTACATCCCCACATGTTGTTTGGGAGGGTTTCAAGAAAAATCCTCCTTGCTGATCCAAAAACAAACTCCAGCATATTCAGTTGTCAGACACGACTGGAACTTCAAACGGCACAGGGTTCTGTGGTCAGATGAAACTAAAAAAAAAAAGAGTTTTTTGGCAGCAAACACACTAGATGGGTTTGGTGCACACAAGGATAAAAAGTACCCCATGTGTACAATTTAATAAACCGCTGGATCTTTAATGTTGGGGGCATATTTTTCTGCTGGAGGTTCTTGTTCAGATACATGGCATTGTGGATTCTATCAAATATCAACAGATAAAAAATCAAGAAATCTGCTAGAAAATATTATAATGGGCCGTGGTTGGATCTTACATCAGGACAAAGATCCAAAACAAACATCAAAATCAACACAATTTGTTACAAAGCACAAAATGAAGCTTCTGCCATGACCTTCCCAGTTCCCTGACCTGATGAGTGGAGTGACCTGAAGAGGAGAAGTGCCAGCATGGATCTGGGAATCTGGATAGATCCTGTATGGAGGAATGGTCTCTGATCTCTTTGTCAGGTGTTCTCCAAACTCATCAGGCATTATAGGACAAAACTCAGAGCTGTTATCTTGTCAAAAGGAGATTGCAAAAAGTATTTAATAAAAGGGTGCCAATAATTGTGGCCAACGTGTTTTGGAGAAAAACATTTATTTCATAATGTGATGTTGTGACGTACTTCCGCTGAAATGTCAGTCACCGCGAATACTTCCGTTAGCCCACGCGTCCACTTGTTCTGGTAGGTAGCTGCTACGCTAGTTGACTTGAAAAAGTCAAAGTTTAAATACCAGAGAGTGTCTGGTACAACTGCCGAACACTGCTGTGTGCCACAGTGCCAGGCATCTGGAAAGTACAATACTGTACAATACTTTTTTTTTACTTTTCCTGCCGATGAGGAGCTGAGGCGTAAGTGGATCATCGCTATCTGGAGGGACAAATTCACTGTAACACCTCACACCCGGGTGTGTAGCCGGCACTTCAAAACGGAAGACATCTTTGAACCAGCATCAGAAACAGGTTGACGGCTGTTAAAAAGGGTGCTGTTCCTGTGTTATTTGAGTGGAACACTTCCACCTACTCAGACCTAACCGTGACCTCTCCTGACTCCTTGTTTGAAACTGTGATTAACATAGAAGTTAGGGTATTGCATTTCAGAAACACAAAATATTTATGACGTTAATCTATCACTCTGCTAATGTTATTAACGTTGCTTCCTCACTGTGCTAACTTTGGCTAGTAAAGAGCCAAGGAGCTAGCATATGTATCATCGTTTGGTAAGCTCAAAACAGAGGCTTGTTAACTTACCTTCATAGTTGTATATATAGCTGGACACATACAATTTAAAACCTTTGTCTTTTTCGACGTTGGTGTCTTTGATGTGGCCTGGATGATCCGATGTACATCGTTTGCCGTTATCCTCGGCAGGTCCTGCAGTGATCGCGTAAAAAACGACATAGCTACAGCAAACGTTAACGTGAACCGTACTGAAGCTGGCTGAAGAGTCCGGAAGCATCAGAACGGAAGTCCGCGGCATTTAGGCTATTGACTGTAGGTCCACGCCCACTTCATCCAACACTCTTGATGTTCATAAATCTTCCAGTTACGACTCCGAGTGTGTAACCGCTTCAGACGATTCCGTGCGTGCAGGAAACCGAACAAATCATTGAAACTGATTCGCAAACCGATTTACACAGTTCTGCCAACTTGTTTGATGAAGTCTTTGAAGAGAATCGACTCAAAAGAGTGATTAATTTGTGAATTGAGCATCGCTCATGCCCCAGAAAAAGATACAGCGCGCTTGGAATAAACTATATAACAACATTGCATTAAACAAAAGTAACGATAGGAACGTCGCCCAACGTCTTTAGTAAATCCTGACAGTAGTTTTTACCATGAGAAGAGGGTTTGCTCAGGCACAAACTGTTAGTAAATCTGGCCCTTTGTGTGTTGATCTTAGACTCGCAACAGCTGAATTTGTTGTGGCTTATTAAATTAACTGGCAATATTGTGTGTAAAATGTAAGTTACTCAAAAATAACTTCCTGTTTATTGGACTGTTGTTGTATAAACGCAATATCAAATTGAACCATTATTGATTATCTGGAAGAACCGCACATGATTGTGAAAATTGTTAATTATAATGCCCTTATTATAAATGATAAAAATATAACATTATATTATGCAGCTGTTCTTATTAAGTGATCAGCTTGATCTTAATTTCTTTAACTTCATTTTCTTTTACCATCGCATGGTACATAAAGTCAATTTAAAAGGTCTATTACGTGATCTCTTCGTAGAAAGAAATTAAATTGACCAGGCATAACGAAATCATATTATTGATATTTCTACTGTTGTCTACTTATTTTTTGTTTTGCCATCCAAACAATGTGCAAGCTGCAAAATAAAGATACCCTCTTCTGTCTTCATTCATGCTAATACAGATTTTAGTGGAGGGGACTGTTGGTGATGATTTCAGAGGAGATATTGCCATAGATGATCTGTCTTTCCTCGGCTGTCAGCCATATGAAGGTGAAATAACAATGACATGCTTTTACTGGATAGTGTGATCATGGATCAGCGGTTGCACATTTCATGGTTTTAAGGTAAAATACTGTGTTTGTAATTATGTGTATATCCTTATATAGGTGAATTACCCTCAAAGGAGCCCAGTACCTCTGCCCCTCTGCCCACCTTGTCAGCAGCACCCCCTCATAGCTGCCCCCCTGACCAGTTTGTGTGCTCAACTGCAAGAGAGTGTGTGAGCCTCAATCAAGTGTGCGATTTCACACCCGACTGCTCCGATAGCTCTGATGAAGAGCATTGTGGTAGGGGTCTGTCTGTCTTTCTCTCTGTTTGTCCCAAAGTTTTGGGTCTTTGGGTTCTGAAACAAATGAACACTCACAATTAGTTTTACATTGTTACATAAGATTTTTTTTTTTTTTAAATGCTGTTCTTTTGATCTTTCTATTATTAGAAAAATGTATCACGGTTTCCACAAAAATATTATACAATAATATTAAGAAATGTTTCTTGAGGATCAAATCAGCATATTAGAATGATTTTTGAAGATTCATGTGACACCGAAGACTGGAGTTAATGATGCTGATTGCATCACAGGAATAAATTACATGTTAAAGTTATATTCAAATAGAAAACAGTTATTTTAAAATTGAGTAACATTTTACAATATTACTGTTTTTTTACTTTATTTTGGATCAAATTAATGCAGATTTGGTGAGCATAATGTTTTAAAAAACATTAAGGGGAGATTTATTAAACAGGGCAAATTAGTGTGAAAGGCTACATCGAAGCCACAATGACCAGCGCAATCTACCAGGTACCGTCTGGTTTAAAGGTTTAAAAATCCTGGAATGTTTTCATCAAAAACCTTAATTTCTTTTCGACTGAAGAAAGAAAGACATGGACATCTTGGATTACATGGGGGTGAGTAAATTATCAGCAAAAGTTTTTTTTTAAAGTGAACTAATCCTTTAAGACTTTTTTTGGGCGGTAAATAATGGCGCAAACACCAGTACATTGACGAGCGCAAACCTTAGTAAATCACCTTGCGTGATTCATTTAAATACACTCCTCCCATAAATTTTGTGTCTGAAAGGGAAACTCCTACAAATGCATATGCAATAAGGTCAGCCGCAAAAATAACTGTCCATGCCTTTTCAGCTCTAATTTTTCACTGTGTGTCTTTAGTAAATCCTGACAGTAGTTTTTTAACGCCAAAAGAGGGTTTGCGCTGACGCAAGCTGTTAGTAAAACTCGCCCTAAAAATCTTACTGACCCCAAACTTCTGATATTACTGTTCTCTGTTCTCAGTGAAGGAGTATTGTGATTTTGAAGGTGGCACGCTTTGTGGATGGTATTTAAATGGTCCAGCCGTTCCTGTTCCTCCACATGCCTTTTGCTGGCAGACAGGACAAGGGGAGAGTATTCACCAAGGAGAACAGAACCACAGACCTGCTAATGACCACACGCTGTGAGCAAAGACAGAACACCACCATTTGCTGGAATGTGTTTGTGCTTTTATTTATAAACGCATGGTCAGGTTTGCATGTATGTCAGTGTGTTTTCTGCTTTGTGTTTACTCATCTGTACTTTTTTGCAGTGGGTCTTCACAGGGTTGGTATATATTTGCGGACAGCTCCAATGGAGGATATGGTCACACCACCGATCTCTTGACTGCTCCCATCAAAATAACAGGACCCCAGTGCACTCTGGTGTTCTGGTACCACATGAGTGGTTTCACTGTTGGAACTCTGCAGGTACAATTATCTAGAAATTATGAATATTATTCTTATTCATTTTCTGCATAGGTAACCCAAGCCTAGAAAACATCAAACATATTATTGTGACAGAATAAATGCTTCATTTTGTCTAAAATGTTTGTTATGAAGTATTTTCCAGAGACCAATTATCAGTTTGTCAAAACAATCTCAATCTTATATGTGCAGGTCTTCATCAAATCAGGTACTGTCACACATGAAGTTTGGTCCCAAAATGGTAACCAAGGCAACAACTGGAGGAGGGGTGAGGTCTTCATAGGAATCCGTCATAACATACAGGTCAGTGTTTCTGAAATTGATGAATTTTTCAAAAGTTAGTTTAAATATACAGTATTTTCCCCTTTGGTTCTCCAATTATTAAGAATTGAACTTTTACTTAATAAAAACAGCATTGAATTTTTTTTATAATTTGATTCAGCAAGCATACATTAAACTGATTGTAAGGATCCACTGGAGGCAAGTTGTAGCGAGAGAACCCAAGTGCAGTTTATTCAAACAATAACATATAACAGGATCAAAACATAACATGAAACGACTCGGTTACTAATGTAACCTCGGTTCCCTGAGAGGAGGGAACGAGTATTGCGTAAGTAGCTTACGCTATGGGGAAAACTCCTTTTCTCGAGAAATATTGAAGTCTTTATGTAAAACGCATTGCAGCTGCACAGCATACAGCAATGAGCGAGGCAGCTCGGTCATTGGCTGTGCTGCGGCAACTGCACGAACCTATGACGGGGCGACTCTGAACCCGCTTCCAATGAGCGTGCTTCGCGCCCGCGCGCGTCAGAGCCCGCCAAGATGGGCGTGGCCAAGGGCTATATATTGGGCGCCCCGTCATCTGAGTTCTTTAGGTTCAATCGACTGAAGCGAACTGACCGAGCACAAGCACGGCAGCTTACGCAATACTCGTTCCCTGCTCTCAGGGAACCGAGGTTACGTTAGTAACCGAGTCGTTCCCTTTCGAGAGGTTCCTCCTTTTGCGTAAGTAGCTTACGCTATGGGAACACCATGTAAAATGCCGTGCGTGCTGACTTCGCTCTATTAAGCCGGAGGCAGATGCCTGAGCCTTTAAGCAAAGTAATTATCCAACGAGCCGGCCGAAGGCGGGCTTTATAAGGGACAATGTGGAACGGCCCAATGGGCGTCCAGAGAAACACACAAGCACATTTTTATGTACTGATATGCATGAAAAATCCTCTAAGTCAGTCAGAGACGGACCCTATAAGGGAGGAGATAATGCTCAGCATGTACACACTCCAGCCTATGCATAGCTTGACCGACAGTATGTTGGAGTGCAATGAGGGGACCTGTAGGTTATAAAACCTGATAAATGTTGACGGTGAGGCCCAGCCTGCTGCCGCACAAATATCTTGAATGGGTATCCCACTCGACCACGCCCACGAGGAGGCCATGCCTCTCGTAGAGTGAGCTCTGATGCCCAAGGGGCACTGAAGGCCCTTGGCTTCATAAGGCAGCGCTATAGCATCAACTATCCAGCGCGATATTCTCTGCTTTGAAACAGCGAGACCTTTGGTGCGGCCGCCAAAGCATACGAACAATTGCTCTGTCTGTCTGAACAGGGCAGAACGTTCCAAATATACTCTGAGCGCCCTGACCGGGCAGAGTAAATTAGCGTCGCTTTCGTCCGCAGGAGACGATAGCGCGGCCAAAGATATCACCTGTGCTCTGAAGGGTGTAGAGAGCACCGAATATACCCGTGTTTTGGCCTGAGGACAACTCTGCTGTCGTTAGGTCCAAACTCCAGGCAGGCAGCGCTTGATGACAGCGCGTGCAGGTCGCCGACTCTTTTGACCGAGGCGAGAGCCAGCAAGAGAGCAGTTTTGAGCGAGAGCTGTTTAAGGTGCACAGTTCGGAGGGGTTCGAACGGGGCACTTTTGAGTGCGTCCAGGACCGTGGCCAGGTCCCAGATCGGCACTGAAGGGGGGCGTGGGGGATTTATCCTCCTGGCGCCCCTCAGGAAACGAACAACTAGGTAGTTTTTCCCTAGTGTGCGTCCTTCTACGGGGTCGTGTGATGCCGCTATGGCAGCCACATATACTTTGAGCGTGGAGGGGGTGCGGCCTGCCTCCAACACAGGGTTCCCGCGGATCCTTAAAAAGTCTTAAAAAGTCTTAAATTAGATTTTTAAAATTTAAGGCCATAAAAAGTCTTATAAAGTCTTATTTTTACTTATGAAAGGTCTTAAATTTTAGATGACACTTTGACTTAGACATATCTAAAAGATTTCCAAATTAAAACTATCTAATTAGCGTACGTATTTTTATTTATTTATTATTCTATCTTTGTGGATTTGCTAGTTCACGTGACATTTCGCGTCACTCGCGAGTCGCCGCAGCATAACTGTCTCCTGCACGCGAGAGGAGAGAAAGAGAAGAAAGGTCTTAAATGTCAGTTCAGTTGTAAGTTCATTCTTTATGTGCGTATGGTGTGCGATGTCTATTGTCTATTATGATATTGTAATCATTGTTTTAACGATGTACGAGGCACTGCGAGCTGACATCGCATTTGTCTCGTGCTTTCACTGCGTGATGTGTGCAGTGTAACTGTTATGTCCCCAAATTAGTTTTTGTCTTATATTTATATCATATTTTGTTCTTATATTAGAATATCACATCAGCAAGAGTGCCGTTTTCCCATGCACAATTCCAAGCGTGATATTTATGTTGTACAACAGTTAAATTAACAATAAGTTAACATTGAGTTACTTTTTAGACACAATATTGTCAATATTGTTTGTTTTCCCTTTATTTCGCCGACTATAATTTCAAAATGAAACCGTAGCAGAGTCTCAATGCAACACAGCGATGATTTCTTGACTGAAATCCGCGTTTTGAACGAATCACTTGCTTCTTTCCCGAATGAATCAGCCGTTTGAACGAATCGGTTGAATGAATGACTCCCTCAACTCACTTACCGTACGTTCACACCGCCGCCGGCGAGAGCGGCAAAATTCGCTCTCGCCGCCCTGTCAGCGACGCCGTGGAAAGATTCGTGGACGCTCTGATGCTCTGACGTAAATCGAATGCTTGGTCTTTTTTAAAACTTTATTTAAAGGGGCCGCGAAGCAAACAAGCATGTCGATCGTTATGTTTGCAGAAAATTGATCGATGGAAAGAACTTAACAATTATAGTGACATGTTTGCTAACGAAATAAACAAATTAAAAGCCATTTGTTTGGTGTGGCTTTTGTGTTCATGGTTAAATGCTATTCTAATTTGCATTCCCGCTGAAAAACAAGCGTTCTAGCACGAATATCTTGCCTATAAATAGTGTTGCGCGCCTTCTTATGAAATTCAAATGATCAACCTCGCCTCTATTTTGCTTGGGAACTAATGTGGTCGGAACCTTTGTTACTTGACTGCGTTCTCTGGAATCCTCTCAAACGGAGCACATCTACATTCCGATTGGTTGCCGCCGGCTGCCGCCGAACCGCGTCATAGCTCATTTCCCTAAAGTTGAGCTGACTTCAACTTCTCCTCGCCGCTCCTCGCCGCTCTCACCGTCCAAGACGCGCCGCGCCGCCCTCGCCGGAGCTCGCCGCCGGCTCTCATTGAAAATGAATGACTTCCGGCCACTTTGACGCTCTCGCCGCCGGCGGTGTGAACGCACAGTTATTAAGACAGTGATTTGCCGCTGCGGTTTCATATTTAAAGTACCCTTTAAATAAAATGTTAAAATTAGAAATCATTTCATATTTAAATATTGAATATTGATTTAAAAATATATATCTCATAGCTTTATTTATGCAGTTGTAAATGGAGTGTAAATATATTAATGCCGCTTCTGTCACCTCTGCACTGCAAAGATGGATTTTGATTGAATGATCTAATTTGACTGGTAACAGTGGTGCTGTATGATTATTATATAATTAAGTATTATTGTATAATTACTGTATAATTTAATTTGAATGATAGTATTTGACATTAAAGGTGATGCATAACTCTAAATAAGTTTAGAAAAAATGTCCATATATAGGTGAAAATGCCCCTGAAAAAATCAATTTAAGGTGGCAAATATTGCCCCTTAATTAAAATATTAATTTCTGTCACTGCTGTGAACTGACCACTGCATAGAATATGAAAAATATGAATATCTTCGTGAGTCAGCTGTCAACAACAGACCTAAACCAGCCATGGCACCAGCACAAAAACACAATCAGTAAAATATCATCTAATTATTATCAACAAAACGTTGAAAATATCAAGATATTTTTTTGTCAATACTGCACAGCCCTAATGTATGGTATTAATTTTGATTTCTTCAGGTCTTAAAAAGGTCTTAAAAAGCCTTAAATTTGACTTTCAAAAGTGTGCAGGAACCCTGCAACAGCTCTTTTAAGAAAACAAGCACACTCGGTACTTCGCATGTCTCAGGGTTCAGGTTCCTGGATTTACACCAGTCACTGAACACCTTCCATTTCTGGGCATATAAGCGCCTCGTAGCTCGCGCCTCAGTGATGGTTCTCAACACTCCACTGGGGAGGTTCCCGGGAACCCGTTGAGGGGCCATGCATGGAGGGCCCACAGATCGGGGCGGGGATGGAGGATCATCCCGTTGGCCTGCCTGAGGAGGTCCAGCCTCAGCGGAATCGGCTATGGAGCAGATTGCATCATCTGCATCAGTTCTGGAAACCACGTCTGGTTCTTCCAGAGTGGGGCTACCAGGAGCACTGCACATTTCTCCTCCCTGATCCGACTGATGACCTGAGGTAGCATCGCGACCGGAGGGAAGGCATACAGCGGGCAGCTCGGCCAGATTTGGGTGAGCGCGTCTGTGCTCTTTGAAAAGAAGAGAGGGCAGTGCGCATTTTCCTTGGAGGCAAAGAGGTCGACCTCTGCTCTGCCAAAGGTTTGCCATAACCACTGAATCGTCAGGGGGTGGAGAGACCATTCTCCTGGGAGAACTTTGTCTCTGGACAGCATGTCCGCTCCCTGGTTCAGAAAACCTGGCACATGCGCTGATCTCAGCGAGCGCAGGTTGCGCTGGGACCATAGGAGGAGCTCCCTGGCCATCGAGTGCAGGGAGCTCGATCTGAGTCCACCCTGACGATTTATATACGAGACTACCGTCATGTTGTCCGTTCGGACTAGGACGTGCTCGTCCTTCAGGTACGGAAGCAGGGCTCTGAGAGCCAAAGCGACCGCTTTCAATTCCAGACAGTTTATATGTAGGCGCTTCTCCGGGTTTGACCACAAGCCGGAGACAGGCCTGCCCTCGTAAAGGGCCCCCCAACCTATTTTGGAGGCATCTGTCGTGAT